AATTTAGAGTTGCGTTTCCTGTGTACATTATGCATACTATAATGATACACATCACAATGAATGTTGTTCTTGAGCAGTGGGCTTTATTCAGGTTCTGATTTGTTCATCTGGTTTATTCAATGACTAATTTATGGAATCCATAAGTCCATGTATTGTATTTTACAGATTTCTCTTGTGAGACTTGAGTCTGGAGTTGATGCTCTAGTATAATCTTGAGTTGGTCCAAGAGAGCTAAACTGTGAAGGTAACTGAAGTAAACTAGTCATTAGTATTAGGCATTGTACATCTATAAAACTGACAATGTCATTCATCTGATGTTTCTTTAAAAGAAAATATATGATAACAAATATCATGTGTAAATTATGCATAGAATTTACACCTTATTCCCTAACACACTTCAGAGCCACAAGATGTTATGTCCCAATGAGAGTTGGGTGAGCCTGGATGACTTTCAGCCTCGCTGTACCTGTCTCTACCCCCACACAACTTGGACCGATGCTGCCATCCCCTCCAACACCACTCGGCCCATCAACACCACTAGCCCTACCCCTAGATCACCCATGTTTGGCAGTAACACCCCAGACAGCCCCATCAGCAAGTATCTAGAAAACCAGGAATCCTTCCTTTATCCAGAATGTCCCAGATTTAATTCATTCTTTGACACCAGTGATCTAACACCAACATTTCTATCAGTCAATCCAGATATCTGGTCTGTCAGCCCCAGTGATGAGTCTCTCCCAGCCAGCACCAGCTCCAGCCTGAGTTCCACCAGCCTTACTGACCCCTTCCCCAGCTCTTCTACCCTTTTCCAGAATTCGGAGGAATTCTACAATGATCTTTTTCCCTCCCCATCTTCCAGCACCACCTCCTTGAACTATGGTTCCACACTTAGCAGATCCATGGAATCAGACATGTCAGGTTTGCCAGATGATATCAACCTCTCAGATATAGTTTACAAAGACATCTGGTTCTGTAACACCTATGACCTTTTTCAGGATGGACCACTACTGTCCTCAAGCTCCATGTCTCTTCCTGTCAGCCCAGTGAGCAGCTTCAACAACCTGAGTGAGTGCAATGTGTCCTGCAGTCTGACCAGCCTGTGCCACCAAGGAGTGTCACTTCCAGTCCCCAGCAGGAGACCTGGACCCCTGAACAAGATGGTGGATAGGAAGAGAAAGAGAGATGAGGATGATGAGGTGGAGGTGAAGGTTTGTAAGAGGGCCAGGCAATAAGTATGGTAGTCAAATATTTGTTAATGTCTGATGTATCTGTTTTACTAACATTAACTGCTCACTTTCAGTTTTCTATATTTTGCTCTGAATGGATGTGTCTTATATTTGAACCCTTTGTTCTACTTTGATCCTACAATACCTTGTCATATTACATCTTATTGTCCTTGTAAGGTTATTTAACTCCTCAAAATAGGTGGATTCATCATAATATATTGTCTGAAACTGACTGGATGGAATACAATCCGTGCAATGAAAATAACTCTTATGCTTCATTTGACAAAAAGTTATATACCAATTTCTGTTTGACACCAGATGTCTTCTCTATCCAACACTTATGTGATATCAAAATAAGTAGAACAGGTGTTTAGCTGTGACTCGATGGGGAGGTGGAGGACACTGTTTGGATAGGCTTGTAGTTTGTATACAGTGTACAAGATGTAATGTTAAAGTCATGGTTTGTACAGGTGGTGTAGGTGTGGCTAGATGGGGAGGTGGAGGCCACTGTTTGGATAGGCTTGTAGTTTGTATACAGTGTACAAGATGTAATGTTAAAGTCATGGTTAGTACAGGTGGTGTAGGTGTGGCTAGATGGGGTAGCTAGATGGGAGGGAGGCCACTGTTTGGATAGGCTTGTAGTTTGTATACAGTGTACAAGATGTAATGTTAAAGTCATGGTTAGTACAGGTGGTGTAGGTGTGTGGCTAGATGGGGAGGTGGAGGTCACTGTTTGATAGGCTTGTAGTTTGTATACAGTGTTGTAGTTTGTATACAGTGTACAAGATGTAATGTTAAAGTCATGGTTAGTACAGGTGGTGTAGGTGTGGCTAGATGGGGAGGTGGAGGCCACTGTTTGGATAGGCTTGTAGTTTGTATACAGTGTACAAGATGTAATGTTAAAGTCATGGTTAGTACAGGTGGTGTAGGTGTAGCTAGATGGGGAGGTGGAGGCCACTGTTTGGATAGGCTTGTAGTTTGTATACAGTGTACAAGATGTAATGTTAAAGTCATGGTTAGTACAGGTGGTGTAGGTGTGGCTAGATGGGGAGGTGGAGGCCACTGTTTGGATAGGCTTGTAGTTTGCATACAGTGTACAAGATGTAATGTTAAAGTCATGGTTAGTACAGGTGGTGTAGGTGTAGCTAGATGGGAGATGGAGGCCACAGTTTGATAGGCTTGTAGTTTGTATACAGTGTACAAGATGTAATGGTAAAAGTCATGGTTAGTACAGGTGGTGTAGGTGTGCTAGATGGGAGAGTGGAGGCCACAGTTTGGATAGGCTTGTAGTTTGTATACAGTGTACAAGATGTAATGTTAAAAGTCATGGTTAGTACAGGTGGTGTAGGTGTGTCTAGATGGGGAGGTGGAGGCCACAGTTTGGATAGCAGGCTTGTAGTTTGTATACAGTGTACAAGATGTAATGTTCAAAGTTAAAGTCATGGTTAGTACAGGTGGTGTAGGTGTGGCTAGATGGGAAGGTGGAGGCCACTGTTTGGATAGGCTTGTAGTTTGTATACAGTGTACAAGATGTAATGTTAAAGTCATGGTTAGTACAGGTGGTGTAGGTGTTAAAGCTAGATGGGGGGAGGTGGAGGCCACAGTTTGGATAGGCTTGTAGTTTGTATACAGTGTACAAGATGTAATGTTAAAGTCATGGTTAGTACAGGTGGTGTGTAGGTGTGGCTAGATGGGGAAGTGGAGGCCACTGTTTGGATAGAGCTTGTAGTTTGTATACAGTGTACAGGATGTAATGTTAAAGTCATGGTTAGTACAGGTGGTGTAGGTGTGGCTAGATGGGGAGGTGGAGGCCACAGTTTGGATAGGCTTGTAGTTTGTATACAGTGTACAAGATGTAATGTTAAAGTCATGGTTAGTACAGGTGGTGTAGGTGTGGCTAGATGGGGAGGTGGAGGCCACTGTTTGGATAGGCTTGTAGTTTGTATACAGTGTACAAGATGTAATGTTAAAGTCATGGTTAGTACAGGTGGTGTAGGTGTATGTAGATGGGGAGGTGGAGGTCACTGTTTGGATAGGCTTGTAGTTTGTATACAGTGTACAAGATGTAATGTTAAAGTCATGGTTAGTACAGGTGGTGTAGGTGTGGCTAGATGGGGAGGTGGAGGCCACTGTTTAGGATAGGGAGGCCACAGTGTTTAGAGGCTTGTAGTTTGTATGCACAATAGATGTAATGTTAAAGTCAAGGTTAGTACAGGTGGTGTAGGATGTGGTTAGACAGGAGAGTGGAGGCCACAGTTTGATAGGCTTATAGTAGGTATGGAGTGTACAAGATGTAATGTAAAAGTCATGGTTAGTACAGGTGGAGGTGGCTAGATGGGAAGATGGAGGCAGAAGACAAGATGTACACACAAGGAAGGTATGGAGGTGGAGGCAGACATGGAGGAAGACAAGGACACAGTGACAGCCAAGGAACAGGTGGAGGCACACACACACACACAGATGGACACAGCCAGGAAGAAAAAGGACACATGGTGGACACAGGACACACAGCAGGATGGAGGCCACCAGTAATGCAAATGGAAGGACCACAGAGGTGGAGGACCAACCGAACACAGGTGGTGGATGGAGGCCAAGAAATGGAGGAGAATGGAGCACAGGTGGTGGAAACGGAGATGGAGGACACAAGGCCTGAGTACAGACCCAGGAGGAGAAGGTGATGGGAGGTGGAGGCCAAGGAGGAACACAGGCCAAGACAGCCAAGGAATAAAGGAAGTATGGACAAAGATGGACACAAACATGATACAAGGCTTGAAGGAGACACAAGGAAATGAGAACAAATTTGAAATGAAGCCACGAATGCAACGGCAGGAGGAGCCATAAGAAGAAGAACGAGCCCAATGGATGGATGAGACATGAGGAAAATGAGAGAAGAGAAAATGAAATATGGAAGAAGAGAGCCTGACAGATGACGGAATGGACACGAGGGAAGGAACGGAAAGGAAAGAAACGGAAAGAAGAAGACAGTACATATATAATAGTGGACACCAGAAAGATGGACAGAGGAAGGTGGAACTGGAATTGCCCTTTCTAGTGGATAATGAGCCAATGACAATAGAAGAAATGGTAGAGACGGCAATGGTGGCAGAGATGGACACGGATGAAGGAATTATGAGACCTCCAAATCTAAATTTGTTCTGTTCCACATTTGGGGAATAGCCAAGTGTCTGCAACCTGGTCGTTTCATAGTGCCAAACAATGTCTGCCATTATGAAAAGTTACTAAACCACTTATCTTCCATTCACCTTCCATCCACAAATCAATGGAGACACTTGAGTGAGTCTACAGGCTGTTGGGTGAGGAGCTTGAGTGAGTGAGTCTACAGGCTGGTGGGTGAGGAGCTTGAGTGAGTGAGTCTACAGGCTGGTGGGTGAGGAGCTTGAGTGAGTGAGTCTACAGGCTGGTGGGTGAGGAGCTTGGAGTGAGTGAGTCTACAGGCTGGTGGGTGAGGAGCTTGAGTGAGTGAGTCTACAGGCTGCTGGGTGAGGAGCTTTAGTGAGTGAGTGAACATGATGAGGAAAAGTTATTTTATGCTGCTGTTGTCAATATGACATCATAAGGCCACATAAGTAAAGTCTGGACCAGTAATATCTGTGGTAATTATGTGAAACAGGCATGATTGTAATGTAGCTAAATGTGGAATAGATTGTCTCCTACAATATTTCCACTGATGAAGTACTGAACGACATTTATACATATGCTTCACACAAAGTGAGTGAGTGAAGGCAACACTCCATGACGAGACAAAAACAAGGAAAGTACTGATAGTTTATCATGTTTAAAGTAATTATACAATTATGCATTATGTTTACGAGTACAGGATTACATCAGGGGTGATATTCTCAGTGCTGCATCAGATGGGATCTCCCTACTATGTGGTAACATAGCAACACTGATTCTGAACACTTCAAACCCAACTGGGCATATTGTACAAATAAAAATAACTTGATACATACTGAAATGTAGAAATAACACAACACCTGGTCGCCCAACAACATACATCCTACATGAAAACTATTTGACCTTTAATTTTAAACAACCAAAATGAATCTGACATATAAACATGACCAGCATGGTGGAGTGAGTGAGTATGTATGGTTTTATGCCCCCTTTTCCACCAGAATTACCGGGGTAGGGACTCAGAAAGTGGTTCACACATTGTACCCATGTGGGGAATTGGGCATCATGAGCAAACACCACAACCACTAGACTAGTCCGCCACCCTGACCAAGATAGATGGCAGCAGTGTTACGCCAAGCTGTACCAAGATGTCTGTTGTGCTGGGTCTTGCTGCTCCTTGTACCTGGGACCAGCTTTGTTGTTACTCAGATCAGTTTCATCAGATCGTTACTAATGGATCAGAGGTTCCCATTAGTTCAATCTTAGAGGCTAATGTAAGTCTTTTCATTCATCCTGCGAGTCTTGGCACTAGGTTCCCCTGCATCTGGTGAGTGAAACTGGTCATCCTGACTGTTGTGAAATCCAGGGATCCCTGATCCCAAACTGACAGCTTGATCTACATGATGCTGTGCTGTATTGGAGGTCAAGGTCAAGTTGTGTGAACTGTGACCTTGATGCGTGTGAGTCTGTGAGCTGAGCACCTGAACCTGTGCAGCTTGCACCTCAGAGTGTGTCCCATGCAGCTGTCCGTGTCCACCCTGTGTCTGTACAGCAGGGAGAGATGCAGAAACCTGCATGTGTGGCTGCAGATGGGGCTGCTGTGGCGGCATCTGCAGCTGCGCCTGCTGTGTGGTGTGCACCAGGGGCTGATGGACTCCCTGTAAGGCTTGTGGAGCCTGCATCGATGGGTGGACCGTCGGCACAGTGATGCTACTCTGTCCATAACCCAAAGGCACTGTTTGTTGATACTGTACACTGTCCAGTGGTAACTCTCCAAACCGTTTGTGGGTGTATGTCATTTCTGGTTGAACAGGTGGCGGAGTATTTGTCCAGTTCTGTGTCACAGGAGGATAAACCACTTGTTGATTGGGTAATGAGCTGGGGTTAGGTTGTAACACCTGTCCTGATTGGTCAACTACTGCTATAGTCTGCTGTGAAGTTCCTTCATCCAATATCTGCTGCTCTATCAGTTTCTGCACAACCCGTTCCCGGCTGAAATCTTTGAGAGGTTGTGGATCCTGGCTTGGTTTTGTTGTGGAAGGCTTAGGGGGAGATACCTCAGGCCGGACAGTAAGTTTAGAACCAGATGATTTAAAATCCTTCACCTCACTGTCCTTGCCAGTCAAATCACCTTTCACTGACTTTTTATTCTCTGTCACCTCTGTTTGTTCCTTGCTACCATTATCATTGCTTTGTTCTGAACCTTGATCAGACCACCCTTTGATGTAGCCTTTGTAATCTGGAAACAGTTCTTTGTCCAGAATAACATAGTTTGATATTTTTTTGCTTTTCGAGTGTTCTGAACTTAATGTAACCACCGGACGTTCAAATTCTGGAATATCCACATTGAGAATCTTGCACACTCTGGTCATGACTTCATCCACATATGCCCATATTCTTAGCTTGGCATATTTGTCATGTTTAGTGGGCTGAAGATTGATGATAGCTAGCTTCCCTCCACTACCCACTGTCATCATAGGTAGGTTCCCACTCGGGACAATCTGTAATGATGTGCCCAAACACAAGCTGAGGTCTGCCTTCCTATGATGAGAAACAAAAGTAACATTAACAATCTCAATAAAATCAGGTATTATTTTGCATTACTGCTATACACTCTTTCGTGGACCACTCATTATGGGTAATGCCAACCATCCAACCAATAACAGCATCGCTTACCAGATTGGGATGTCTGTTGCAATGTGTTTCCTTGAAAAAGACAAACCAGGGTACCTGCACAACAGTTATGGCCTGTACATGAGACTCTGTCAAAACCATCCTCCATCTGTCACATCAATAAACACATGCTTAGCCGGTGTAGCAGGCCATTTCTTCCCCGGTCTAAACTTTCTCCGGGCCTATGACAAGCACGCACAAGAGTTGGCCTAGAAACCCCATGCCATAACGCTGAAAATATTTGCTATCGGAGTCACAAAAGCATCAACTCTAAATGAGAGAAAGATGGAAAGAACACAGTATGATTGTTCAATCTTAGCGATCTTACCAATAATTTGGAGTGGGTAGCATGAGACAAACAATTAGGAAGGATATCCTAAATACAAAGATATGTGTACAAACTGTTGACTGCTTACTTGGATTCTATCTCTGCCTGTTTGAGGTCCTGCTCTGGGAGTGAATCCTCCCAATCCAAGATGGTATCCGTCAGCTTACCCCTATACAGGAATACGAAATATGACTGTTACCATCAAATCATTACACAGGAAAATTAAGTCTTACCAGAACAAGCAGCCATTGCCTCCTACCAGAGCTTTGTTGAACTATTTAGTAAATTCAGGGTAATGATATTAATAACTATGTTTTAAGAATTTTATTCCACTTCAGACAACACATCTATACTTAGAAACTGAAATATGACAGCTGTAGACACATGCGGTGAGAATTGTTTTACACCGCTTTTAGGCATCAGACATATCACAGTGGGAGTGGGACATTAGAAATAGGCCTCATGCATTGCCTAACATGAAGGACTGAACCCTGGCCTTTTCTTTGATGAGTGAACACTTAGCCATAGGGCTATAATACCACCCTCAAGCATGAAGATGTTTATAATTTACCTGCAGCGCCCCCTGGTTTTAGACTGAGTACAGCTCCTCCCAGTCAGCTTCAGCCCCATGGTTGGCGTACAGGTGCTCAATATGTACTGCAAACAATCGGGGATCAGATCATATAGATAGGTCACCATGGTACAACTTTCAATACAATGTGAAAAATGTGGCAATTTTTGTCAACCATCAATGATAATTTTGTAACTGGGTGGAAATTCAGAACACCTGACACATTTTCATTGTTTTGTTTTGTGTATTTGTTGTTTGTTTAATGCCACAATCAGCAATATTCCTGTTGTATGACTGTATTCTGGAAATAACTTGGAACTTGACCAGACAATACAGTGACTGACACAATGTGCCTTGATCTATGCAAAGGGGATACAATCGCATACATCAACCAAGCCAGCCAGCCAGACCACCCGATCCCATTAGACCCCTTATACAACAAACATGGGTTGTCATGGGAACATTGTGCACATAATGCAAAAAAAGCAAACAAGCTTATCCAACATCTTATAATGATATACTATCTGTAGGTTCCACAAACTCTGGGCACTGGTCCACTTCTTTATTCAGGTCCATTACAGTTACAACTCCTATTTACTATGCAAAACGGTGTAACACATGTAAAACGGTTGAAAACCATGTGACCCTATCCTGTAATGCTGCTAACCATGCCATGGTCTCAGCTGACATCTCTCTCTCCATGCACGAGCCCCACTCACTACATGCATGAGCCTCGCCTCGCCATCACATGACCGTGTCACATGACCCATACTGTCATTCTCAAAATAACTTACCGCTGTCAGTGAGTTTTCCTTTTGCCACTTTTCTCAATAAGTACACTTTGGTCACTCTAAGTGTACTCTTAAGTCTGAAGAAGCTCTTAAGTCTGAACTATGTCTTAAGAAAATTATCAGACTTAAGAGTAACTCTTGCATAATTCTTAATAATTTCTACACTTAAGAGTAACTATTAATTAACGCAACACCTGTATATGATCATGATGATAAAGAGATTGGTGTCAGTGACAAAGACTGCAAGAGGAGTGCCATGTAATTTTGTATAGTCACCTGAGTGCCACATTTATTACACACTTCCACAAACATGTTGCCATGGAGTTCGGAGAGTCGATTAACAGGATACCCCGAGCGGATCTGTAGTCCATCCACATTCTGGCTCACTGTGTACTTCAGTATATCTGAAGGAAAATATCAACAAATGTAAAGTTCAAGCCACATGATCAAAACATGATTTTCTTCAAAAACAAAATACATTGTTCTCAAGTTTTTTGTTTATTATTCATGTACATTGACATTGAGAAGGGAAAAGTGCAATACAAAGTGACTATTATTATTGTTATTACTATAGCTTTCAGACTTTTCTTCTTGAGATTTGTTTTAAGTTTACTTGGTTATTTAGGGAAAAATGTGTCTCACTCTTTTTCTCCAAACCAACAAGTGCCATGTGTGTAGTAGTGGGACGAGCTGATTCAAATGTCACATTAAAGTGTGGTTGTTCACCTTTCTTCTCAAGTGTCCAAACACCTGGAATAAATAGAATGATATATTAAACATAACTGACTTAATACAAATGTCACAGAATCAGGCTGCCAACATCTGGATTGTATAAAAGTACAAGTCAGCACTTGTGGTTAGGTATTCATTCAACATTCTTACAGAAGATTTGGAAATGAAGCAAAAAACAAATTCATATTACCTTTGGGGCCTCTAAAGTCTGGGATTCCAGCTGAAGTGCTAATACCAGCTCCTGTGTGAGCGACAAAATGACGACTTGTCCTTATCATGTCAGCTAACTCTCTGATTTTGGATTCTAAGATGTCTGGTGGGTCATACTTCTCTGGCATCCCACACTTGCCCTTATTGTCGTATGGAGACAAGCCAGCAGCATAATTCACAGACATTGCCCTATTGTGGTTTTCTCCAACAAAATCTGAAACACATTTTATTTAGCATGGTTACAAATTTTTATTTTTTGTTTTAAGTTTTACATCATGGTACTTTGCATATAATTTAGACTTGCCAAAACAAACAGGTGGTTGATATTATCAACATAACACACTTTTGGTGTAAAATAACAATTCATCAACCCGACCACCTGATCTAAGATGAGTAAGATGAAATCCGTAAGTCACTCCTATCTCCACTGACTCTACAGCTTCCAAAATCCAACTCTTAGATGAGACTGTTACAAACAAAACATTTCTGTGTGCCTATTCCAGTCTGGCATCTAATCCATCCTGGGGCTCGGAACTAGGACAGAGATATGTAGGACTAGTCAGACCAGTTGAAGGATTATGTCATCAATGTTAGACTGACTGACTGACTGAGTTTGGTTTTACGCCGCTTTTAGCAATATTCCAGCAATATCACGGCGGGGGACACCAGAAATGGGCTTAACACATTGTGCCATCAACCTGTTTCAGCTGAAGCCACCGCTTTAACCACTAGGCTACCCCAACGCCCCCATCATCAATGTTAGAAATTGGCAAAGGCATTTTAACAATGCATTTGAATTAGGAGTGAGTGAGTTTAGCTTTATTTTATGCTGCACTCAGCAATATTCCAGCTATATGGAGGAGAATTAAGAAAGGTAGGATACCTTATGGATGACAACTTCTTTATTATAATATGATATGATATTTTGATACAGTCTTGCATCACAACAGTATAAGCATCTGTACCGAAATAGCACATCACAATACATGTTTAATAAAGAAGCTACCATCCATAAAATATCCTAACTTTTTCATTACTCATAAACTTCTAAACTGCCAATCAACAAACCCTTAAGAATTATTGACTTAATCATACAATTTCCAACTTATTGACCCAAAGAGACACTATGTACCCTCGTTTCAATAGTTTATTCGCTGTACTTTTTGCGATTGTCACCCTGTTAAACACTGTAAATTGAATGTGTTGTTGTCACTTCGCCAAGAATGAATCGCCACTCACTGACTCTGATCGTTTGTGATGAAAGCTATCCTGCATCGCCCATTGAAACACCAGTGGCAAGTTCAAACTACGGAAATACTTACTGCAAATGTGATAAATATTATTGTTCAAGGTTTCCTATTTATTGCATACAGAAACACACACGAAATGATGCCCTTTTAGAACGGCCGTCGCTATATTTCAGAACAATACACAGGAACATGTCGGAAGTTTCACGCGTTTGACGCGAGTATCTGCAAACTCTGCTTCGATGCACTATCGTCATACAATAGGAGAGATACCGTAGAGTGGGCGTCGCTACTTTACTGTTAGGAGTTCTTGCAAGACGAAAACTTCCGGTTCCAAATTGCACGGTGTGGCGTGAGACACCGAGAAACTTGCAAAATGTCTCGCAGTAAAAATGATTTATGTGCTCGCATATTGAAAGACCTTTATGGAGAACTTCCTTACAAAATAGGAAAATATCTAATGGCCAAGGGAGCGTGCCCCCTCCGTTTAATAACTACAGACACTAAAATTCCTCACAACAGTGTAAGTGCAAAATCGGAGGTGATACAGGTTCAGTAGCATGGCTCTAACAGCAATGTCACTATTCATGGCAGTTGAAGCAACTCTCCCATAGGTTCTGAATTTGCCATATCACTGGGCTCCTTTTTATTTAAGTGTTAATTTAGCCTAGACGTTTTGGCAACAATCCCAGATTCGTTGTCACTATGCTTTTGGTTTGCCAAACGCAAGTGGCCATATAGATTGGAACAAAACATCTAAGAACTGCATTTTGATTTCCCGCCTCATGTACACTATCATGAATTGGAAATTGTATTAAATGTTGGTATGTTTACTGGTGCTTTTAATTAGTTATATCCCCATATTATGGGCTTTCAGACTCTAAAGACGCTCTGTTTTCTTGATTATGGCATTTGTAAAACATGTCACTAAAACAATAGCACTAAAATACAAAAATACGTACATTAATGTACCATAAATATATCTATCTATTTCTAACGTCAGTGTGATGCCCTATCTGAAAGCATGCATATAATCTGATCATGCTAATAATACATTTATCAACATTTTCAAGTATCAAAGAATTATACATGTGGAGTTTTGTAAAGAAATACAGTGTTCTAAAGTTCAAAATGTTTACATGCAGTTATCTGGCTTTTATGTGCTGATACATGGTTACCTACAATTGTTTGTGGATGAATGTACTTATGCCGATAGAAATTGAGTAAACCTGTTGAAAGATAATGATTCAGAGTTGTAATGATTTGTATTTTTTGTCTGCAGGTAAAGAGAGTCCTGTGGGTGCTGAGTCATCAAAATATAGTTAACTTTGAGCAAAACAAAAAATCTGTCATTGAATATGGGATATCTTGTGATAGAATTTTGTGGCATGTTAGATACCCTAAGTACATATACTGTGCAAAGACTCTGTATGGAGATGCTGCAGAACTCATGGTGGAGGAACTACTACAGGGAGGTCAAGGTCTCATGAGTGGGGTCGTTTCTAAGGTAACAGAGCGTCTCAATGAAGCACTGGAAGCATCAGGTGCGTAGAGACATTTGTTTTATTTGGTTGTTATCATCTTGATCATAATGATATGTAGCTATTAGTTTGGGCTGATGGTATTTTAATGCCACACTCCATCAATATTCCAGCTACAGTGAGACCTCGGATATCCGGACACATTCGTTTTTTACGTAAATCGTCCAGATAATTGAATATCCAGATATCTGGATTTTTGGTTTTCATACACCTCAAGGAAAATCTAAAATATTTATGATCATCAAGCGTTTATTATACATGTAAAGACATTCAAAAACAGCATCACAACATAACTGGCTTGAATATTGACACACTGCACTTTTATTGCTTTGACTGAATAAACAACATCGTATCACTTCGCGTGAACAAACAACAGAAGACGACTTTGTCAGTAGAGACGTCAAATTTACTATTAAACATCACTAGACAAGATTATTTATCTACGGTTAGCGGTAGATCAAAGCTTCGTGCGGATAGGTGAGTCAACTTTGTGTTGATTTAGCCGGTTTGTTTGTAAAATGTACCGTCCGGAAACGGAAACCGAATATCCATTATAGACAGTCACTTTTATAACGTAAGAGATTGGTTTTTTCTAAAAATTGACCGGAAGGCGAGGTTTCCGGATATCTGGTGTCCGGGTATCCGAGGTCTCACTGTATATGACTGTGGCTTGCAATTTATTCTGTCTGGAACAGACAATCCAGTCTATTTATTTGCTTCTTATGACCAAAACAGCCCAGGATGATGGAAATCAGTTTTAATTAGGAACCTCCATTGGGATAACTGTTACTACAGAAGTATTTGTTTTACTTTGTATAATTAGTGAAAACATCAGATTTTAGAGGGAATATTTGGAGGACTAGGTTCAGCAAAATGGTTCGATTGTTTACGTATTGTTTAATCATGTGAACTCTTAACATTATATCTCTCAGTTACACTGTGTAGTAGATCTACACTGAAAATGAGCAACAGACAGTGGGTCATAGTCCCTAGTAAGCATGTTTTACAATGGAACGATCGCCTCTGTGGTGTAGTGGTTAGAGCGTCCGCCAGGAGAGCGGAAGGTTGCAGGTTAGATCCCTGTCCGTGTCATACCAAAAGACGTTAAAATATGGTACTTGTTTGTCTCTGCCTGGTGCTCGGCATTAATGGGTAAAACAAGGACTGGTTGACTCGGAGTCAGTATAATGTGTCTGAGAGGGGTATTCATGCTTAACTGCGTCATGGTATCTCAGTGAGCTAGCACTATAAAACCAACCACAGACTGTTTTTACATCCCAAGAATGACACAAAGTCAGTTGAATTACGAATGTTTGAATCTTTTCCAGTATCTGCAGCCACTGATAGACAGATCAGATTCTGGAGAGTATATTAAATAAAGTAAAGCTATGCATTTATTTGGACTTGGTGATGGTAAGGTCATGCTAGCCCAAGTAATTATCAAACAATTATCAGATCCTTTCGGAAGCCTGAAATATATCTTTCAAGAAAACAGTGCAGCTGTTAAAAATATATCGATAAATGCATGTCTCATGTTGTCAGGTGTGAATTTGGGATGCATAATTAAAATAATTGGTTAATCTTGCCATTCCTAATAGTGAGGTAATAATCATGATGAACATATTGATATTTACCTGTCTCTGTGCCCTGTTTCTGTGTCAAGGGATAGTCTTACATGCTGATGCTGTGTCAACTAAAACATGGTAAAGACTGTGCAAAAAGAATTCAGTCATGATTGGTTTTTGTTCCTATTTGTGTTTTATAACAAAAATTATATCTCATTTCCATAGGTCATCCTAAGATCAACATGTCTTTGGTTAAGGACAAGTTTTCAAGTTTGGTGAGAACTCACTTTCTGCAAAGAAGCTTGGAGCCTGTGAAGGGTGATAATGACAGAGTTATCTCCCTTCAGTCGCCACAGAACAGAGAGGACTTGTTCCAAACCCCAACAGAGGCAGATGGTTAGTTGACCTCACAAGACCTGAACCTTATTATTTTGCCATTTATCTTACATAAATGCCAAATGATTAATGGTCTAGATTTTCCACAGATTTTGAATATGCTCTGTCACTACCGCTTCTTTTCAATTGAAATGAAATTGTTTGTTTCTGTGAAAATAATTTTGTTTCAGAGAATAATCATTTGTCAGGCAGGTGGTATTAATGCCTTCTTGCCAAAAAGGTTCATGGTCAATTTTATTTAAATGTTTAAAATGCCAACAGAAAGACGTTTTGATTGGATACATAATGGTTTGCTCTAACCAAAATGCAGCAGAAAAATATTAAGGAATGATGTTAATGAAAGTATGCTAAGATAACTGAAACAGATTTTATTATTAATGTTATTATCTTCACATTTCCATTATAACATGGCATTATTGGTGACATGAATAGAAGAAATGGCGGTGCAATTTCAGGTCCCAAGAGGAAGCGGTCAGTTGACGACCACTCCAACCCAACCAAGAAACTCAGAACTGAAGAAGGAGAGAAAGAGGTCATTTTCTTAATCATTTTGATTGGTTATACCAAGTATTCAATTTCTTTTATTAAAACCCCAAAGGACATGGTGAGATGAAATTTCATAATATTATTCTGCTCTCCAATAACCATCAGTTGTTTGTATATTAGTTTGTGTAGTTTTACTTCACATGTTTACTGATACCGGGATCTCAGTTTTAGTGCTCAGTGTGCGGCAACCAACAAACCTATCCATTTCACTTAGTTTTTTCACTTTTTGTCCAGACGAAGTGTATGTTGGAAATATATGTATACAGTATTGCAATGTAAACAACCCGTGAAGATCTGGGTTAGAACTGGTCTTCAGCAACCCATCCTTGTCGTAAGATGCGACTAACAGGATCCAGTGGTCAGGCTTGCTGACTTGGTTGACACATGTCATTGATATTGTATCCCAATTGCACAGATGCTCATGCTGTTGATCATTGGATTGTCTGGTCCAGACTCAATTATTTACAGACCGCCATATAGCTGGAATATTGCAGAGTGCGGTGTTAACAACATTCTAAATCACAGCATGTGTTAGCAGACTGTAAGGCCATCTGTGATAGAATGTAATGTTTTTGTCAAGTCAGTGGAGAGTGTTTTCTGAAAAAGTGTGTGTGGTAATATAAAGGCATCCTCTAATTTCAGGTTCCATTTGATGATGGTCTGTACTGGCAGGTGAACTTCGACCGCTTCCACCAGCACTTCCGGGACCAGGCCATCATTGATGCTGTTTGTAACAAGATAGATAAGGTTGGGGATACAAACTTATAACAATTCTCTCTTTCCTAAATTCTACAGTTCTTTTATATGTTGCATATCGATAGAAGGCACAGTGATCTAAGGTACTGCAACTTTTGTGCAGAGCTTCATCCATTAGCAGAGCCAGTGATTAGCAAGTCAATGACTTGATAGTCTGATCCATACTTGATAATTTACTTAAATAAGTTGATTATTTACAGACTGCTAGTGGAAAATTGGAGGGTTGCATTACAGAATACTCTTGCTTCTGTAAATATATTAGTTGAATACATGCTTTTCAGCATTTCGTCTCAGCCTCTTGTTATCAAAATAGAATAGAAATATAATACACTAGATAATCAACAATTCACTTTGCAAACAGATCAGATGAACGGCTTTGTCTATGAGGTAGCTTCCTGGAGTAAAGGTTTCAGGAGTTAGATCAGCAGAAATGAATGGTTTATGGTGCTGTAAACAAATAGAATTTGTATGCCAACTTTTAGGTGATTGTGAAATGATAGAAATTCATATATAATGGCAAATTTGTGAGAAATGTGTCATGAAATGAATGTCATCTTATTTTCCACAGGATTATATGTCCTGATACAAAATGTGAACCCACTGTTTATTCAGTCAAAGTAAACTTAGGCTCAGTATTATTCGTTACACTGCTATACTGAGTCTAACAAAATCTTATAGAAGGTCATGTCAGCTAACCTTTGAGCGACCTATGACCGTCCAATCAAACGCGAGACGGCCGAACAGATTTAACCAATCAGACAACGACTACTTGTTAGGGTTCGGCGGGACTTACAAAACTCTTTTCTCTTTCTTGGTTGCTGACACTGATCTATCAACAGACGAAAATCCACATAAAACACATATATTTGACCTGCAGTATATACGCTTATGGGTTTTCTTAATGACATGGTTACTTTTTGCTTATATTTTCGCAAGATGACATTCTAGAATATTGACAAAAACGCTATTTTCAGCGACTGTTTACTCATTGCGTGTATCACTGGGAAGCGATCGTGCGGAAAATAGCATTCGAAATCGTTCGAGGTTTTGAGGTAAAGGTTCAAACAGTATGCGAATGTTAACTATCGCGATTTAGTAAGCTGTGTTCTGATTGGTCAGTCCAAAAGGTTAGCTGATGCGACCTTCTATAAGGTTTTGTTAGACTCAGTATAGCAGTGTAACGAATCATACTGAGCCTAAGTTTACTTTGGCTGCTGTTTATTGTAATGAATATGGAAATACCTTGACTTCTGCCATTTTCAGAAAGCTGGTGAGATTGTACGGACCATGCTTCGTCTCAGTGAAGTGAGGACGGAGCAGTCAGCCCCTGTTACCATGCCGATGTCAATCAACGAGGTAATGATAACCTGAGAGGAGTACATTCTTCAGCCGAATGATAGCACCAATGTTTGTAGAACTCTAAGTATGAGTGTTCCAGTTGTCTATGGCACTGCAATTTGGTGCAGAGTTGTGTCCCTTGGGCATGCAGAAACCTCTGATTGTGAGTTTGAATCCAAGTTCTGCCTGATTTCTTGGTTTGACAGCACCAACCAATGCTTGTCAGTTTTACAAAGGAAGAACTGATTTGGTAAAGGAACAATATAATGGATGCGTTCATAGTCAATGATTGTTTTGCAATAAGACATAAATGAATGCTCCCTATCTCTGTTTATGTTTCAGATTTCCCAAGCTCTGCCCAAAGACCAGGGGATGACTTTGAGAGTGTTAGAACAGTACCTGTCCATTATCGCTGATGATTCTGTATGTATGCACTTATATGCACACATTATTGTATGAAACTAAATTGTTTCCTCTTTGTCTTTGGAAAGAATTTTTTAAACTGATGTCACCCAAATATATTCTTGTGACAAACGTAAGGAATTTTCTTCTTGATCCTGTGATTTGTGCTGTTTCTGCCAATGAAAGAGAACACTGAAAATGCCCAGCAAATTTGCTCACAATGAAACCTTATCAGCTCATCAGTGCTGACCGTCTGAGTCAGGAAAGCCCCCTGAACAGTTATACTCACACAATAGTGTACAGTACTGTCCAGATCAGCAGTGTTTCACTGTAATTGTCTTGAAGATACATGCATGATAATTTGTCATTATTGTCATAATGAATGTGATTTTGAACATGCTGCAGGCACTGGTTTGTTGACACTTGGTTGTCAGTACTCCTAAGAAGTTCCATGTCTGTTTCAGTGTGACTTTGTCAGCAAAGTGGGTGACAGTGGAGGGGGAATGTATGTCGTCAGTATCCTTCACTTGTTGCCATGGTTAAAGATCATTATACTTGGTACCATGGTTACAGATCGTTACTTGTTACCATGGTTACGGAAAAGAATGTATCCCTTAACATATCTAACCTTCATTGTTACAGATCCTTCACTTATTACCAATATTTTCAAAGATAAATGAGTAATATACACCAAAAAAAGCACAAGGATTAATATGACTTCTTTTACCATTGTTGACTTTATAATAAGGATGCCCAACTGATGGTTGACATCAGACTGACACATCTAACTAAGTGTAAACTTCTTGGGTGAGTTTTTGGAATAGAATTCACAGGTTCTTTGAAGTAGCTGATCCTCTTGGGCAAAATCAATATTCAGTGTAATAAATGGTTTGAACATTGAATACATTTATCTGATGGTATGCTTCCTATTGGTCTTACAAATGGTTTGTCAGAATTCATGATTAAGATTCTGACACTCACTTGAAGTTAGCACATAAATGTTATAATCACTACAATGACCCATTATTGAAGCACGGTCCTTACAGTCCTTAACCCATTGCAAGACATCTTCAAGTCTCTCACAGCTCTCTGCAAGGCACACATTGAATCTTTGGTGCAGGAAAGGTGAGAACTGTAGCTTTGTTCTGGGGTTTGTTTGATGTCATCTTCACTCAAAAGGGGGGCGGTGGGGTAGCCTAGTGGTTTAAACGTCAGCTCGTCACGCTGAAGACCCGGGTTCTATTCCCCACAAGGGTACAATGTGTGAAGCCCATGTCTGGTGTACCCTGCTGTGATATTGGTAAAAGCGGCGTGAGACTGAACCCTCTCACTCTCCCGTCATATTGTTTTGTTCACTTGTATGTTGAGTTGTCATCTTCTTCAGTCAGAAATAAAGCCTTATGTATATAAGTCTTCTTTGAGCATCGTCTTGTCCTTGAAGGGAACAAATGTAATCGGCTACAACAAAACATCAGTTGATAAGGTATGTGAATGAAACAGTGTATTATCTGTGAACAGATGAGAAGAGCAGGGTAAGACTACAGAATACTGGATACCTTCCACCATCTTTGAAAGCATGTGAGTTTACTTTTGGTTAGGGTTGTTAGGGTAAGTTTAGGGTTAGGTTTAGGGTGATGTGACACTAAACAATATGGCGGGTAGGTATTCTGTATTCTGTAGGTGTATCAAGAGCAGTACCATGAATTATATTCTATGCAGATATGCTATTATAGATACAGTTTCTCACATTCATCTGTAGGTTTGGCTCCAAGTGTTTGAGACTGTTTCGAGTTCTCCTTCTGAAGAAACACGTGGAGCAGAAGCAGGTGAGAATTCCTTCAACTGTTGTATTTCCATCTCTGTCTGAAAATGAATAACCCCTACATGTTTTTTCACATTGTAAAATATTTGACGAGTCCAGGGGTTCAAAAATCCCATCGCCCGACGCCCGGGACAAGTCAGCTTTCATTTCGGGCAATCAAATAATAGTATCTTACTTGTCCGTGGGCTACTAGATAATTTCCACTTATGGTTTCAAACTGCAAATAAATTTTGATTTAATTTCATATCTGCTCAAAATGTAGCTATTAAATTTCGCAATGATAATAAAGTAGAGTTATCTTTCTTTGCTATTTATCATTTTTCAATAAATAGTCCAGTAAACATTAACATCAAATACCATGTTGATTTCTTCTTTCATAATTACATCATCATAATCATGGCATAAAATCAGGGCAAGTGGAAAATTAGTCAGGACAAGTTACTTTCTTAAAGTCACTTGCCCTGTGGCAAGTGGCTTTTTAAAAAAATATTGAACCCCTGGAGTCAAGCAATTATCAATTGGTGGTATGATCGTTGTGATGGACATGATGAAGCAAGTCATAATGGAGTTTCAAGTGACCATCCAACAATGTACTGTCTATACTCGGTAGCCATGCGACCAAATGATCACCACTGAAGTCAGTCCTGAGCCCAAGCATTGGGTATTTGGATCTACTCTGTCATCGGGTAATGCATGTAGAAATTTGGTTGAGAATGGGGAGATTGTTACACGTAGTATACCCATGTTGGTTTTGAACCACGATCATCATTGGGGTACAGTGCCACCGCTGGGCCTTCATTCTGCACTACAGTGGTATGACATGTAGAGTAGCAGTAGAATAACCATGGAGGTTCAAGGACGTATGGTTATTCTGTCACAATTTGTAAGGAATTTGCCAGATTCATGAAGGTCAGATAACCCCTAATTATGGGGTTCGAGGTGGCTGTTCTGTGTATTATTCATTGTCAATTTCAGAATAGTGTTACAGAAAGAGGTATGAAACTGGCTAAACTGCTAAAGTCAGCCTATTGTTCAGATGACATAATGTTCCTTTATGGGACATCCAGAATAATGGATGACATCAACAATAATGGATGACATCAACAATAATGGATGACATCAACAATAATGGATGACATCAACAATAATGGATGACATCAACAATAATGGATGACATCAACAATAATGGATTACTGGTATATCAGAATTTACTGTTCTCAAACAAGGTATCAGTGTAAGGTCATGTCGTTTCAACTGACCAATCGGCTTTGAGAACAATTAAAGTGCATATTTGCAAATGTGGGGATTTATGGCACTTTGCACCCTTCTAGTTGTATTGAAGGATGTTCAAGTTGAATGCATGCTAACTTCAGATAGAGGAGTGTGCTATGATCCCTGCGAAGGAAGCCAAGGAGCTGCTGTACAGCATGTTCGCTGAGAACTTTGTGTCCATCACGGTAAGTGCTGCCTTCAGTACGCTTGTCTGTCACATTCAAAACATGATGCACACGAAACATGACAGAAGCAGGAATCTACCTAACAAGGAAGAAACTAATGATTAACAGTTGGAATTGTTTTTCCATTTAATTTTGATAGATACAGAACTTAATGCTCAAGATCTAAGAACAAATACCTTTTTGCTATGTCACTAAACAACTACTGGTGTATATCTCATATTATAGTGGATATTTTGATATAACTATTGATGAATAGTATTGATGAAAATGTTTTATTGGTGGACTAGCAAGTTTTTCGTTTTCTTTTCCAGTTTCTTACCATTCTTTGAAAACAGCTCTTTAAATATATGTCAAATCTGATTTCATCACTTAATGCCTGATAATGTTCTTGTGCACTATGTTAAACCTGTAACCTGAACATCCAAAATGTGAAACCAAAGAAGCAAATTTTGTCATATGTAAACTACATGGTTTATGTACCATCGTGAATATAAATGTTTCACCTTTCACTGTGAGAGAAGGTAGGCTTTTGAGCAAGTCTTTATTTATTTCATCAGGAGATCTCAAAGACTCCTGACCATGCCCCATCCAGGACATTCTACCTGTTTAAGGTGGACATCGACCAGGTGGCTCGCATGTTGCTGGAGAGATGCTACAAGGTTTGTACGAGATAAAAAGTGGGCTAAATCTGGACCTGAAGGTTAATAGTGGGGTAGACACAAGATGAATAGTGGAGTACACATTGACCATAAGATAAATAGGAAGGTAGACTTGTACAACAACATGAATAGTAGAACAGGCAATGACCACAAGATGGCTGGTGGGGTAGACATGGACCTGAAGGTTAATAGTGGGGTAGACATAAGATGAATAGTGGAGTACACATTGACCATAAGATAAATAGGAAGGTAGACTTGTAGCACAACATGAATAGTAGAACAGGCAATGACCACAAGATGGCTAGTGGGGTAGACATGGACCATGCTCAAAGATGAACAGTTGAGTACAGCTTCTTAGTAGTAAAATGTGAAATACTAATTATTAGTGTTATTAGCTAAATTTCATATCTATAAATGTAAACTTACAAATCGAATACCACATTTAGCACACATTGACAATACGAATTAATTTATGTTCTGCATTTTTGTTTTGTTTTGTTTTTGTATGGATATGTGAGCGAATGTTGTATCTATGTGTTAAAAAATAACAAAAAAACTCGGTGATTCCAGTCTCTGTATATATATTGTATACATTTATACATATATTGTATACTGCTTTCTCGAGAATATAAAAAAAAAAATTATTAGTGTTATTATATTTAAATGGTTGAGAGAGTTTGTTGTCTTATCAGTGACATGCTGCAACACTATTTCAGGCCCTCGCTAATGCAATGATGAGAAGAGAAATGGAGGTAGCTGATCACAAGTAAGTCATGTTTGTTTGTTTTGGTCATCACAGTATTCTTACTTTCATGATAGAAAGCCCTTTTTCTTGTACAACTTTGAAAGTGTACTGATCTGTTCCCTTGACATTTGTTTTGTCAGTTGTCATAGCACTCTCACGCTTGTGTCTAGCATATATCTGTTGTGCAGATACACAACAATGGGGAGCCTGGTCCTAAATAACCTATCCTTGTTATAAGAGTCAACTATCACACTGTGTTGTTAAGTTGCTCAAAACATCGCTGATATGTCTGGTTCAAACTTGATTGTGTACAGGCTATCATGTTGTGCATCAACAAGTCAATGTTGTGCACCACCCACCAACTGTTGTTTATCACCCGCTCAATGTAGTTTATCATCCGCTCAATGATGTGCATCAACAACTCAAAGTTGTGCACCACCCACCATCACCCACCCACTGCTGTTTATCATCCACTCAATGTAGTGCACCACCCACCCACTGTTGTACATCACCCCTCAATGTTGTTGTACATCACCCCTCAATGTTGTACGTCACCCCCTCAATGTTGTGCTCATCCATTTACTGTTGTGCAGACGTCTGCTGGACAAGCAGGAGCGTGTGGAGGCCATCATTGCATCTCTGGAGCAGGAGGGAGGAGAGGCAGCCCAGAAAGAAGAGATTGAACAGATGATCACACCACCAGAGCGGGCCCAGCTTGATAAAGTCAAGAAAACTGTCAACATGTATGTAGATTGCTTCATGAACATGTCCTTTACAGTTCAGCACTCTCTGCTGTTCACCGCCCAGTTACTGTTTGTGTATTAGCCACAGGTAATGTAGCCAAAGAGACTGAGTGTGACAGTATCTGCTGTTTTTCTATCCATATTTAATATTCTAATTTTGAAAACAAGTTCATATAGGCAAGAAAGGACTTGATTCAGGTGTTTCATTTTAAAAGGTCATAAGATTGTTTGGTTAGATGTTTAATGCCGCACTCAGCAATATTCCAGCCATGTGGTGGTCTGTAAATAATTGAATCTGGACCAGACAATCCAGTGATCAACAGCATGAGCATCGATCTACGCAATTGGGATACGATGACATGTATCAACCAAGCCAGTGAGTCTGACCACCTGATCACGTTATTCGCCTCTTACGACAAGCATGGGTTGCTGAAGACCAATTCTAACAGAGTTCTTCGTGGGTCCAAGTTCATAAGACAAATGAGTAGCTTTAGAGTTTTATACTTTGAATACTTTACAAGGAGGTGCATCTGGAAGAGCATTAATATGTATTATTCATGGGGATTCTGGGTTAGCTGTGGTCCCCAGTAACATAAGCTTGGTGGAAGGTGACTCAGCAGCTTGTAACACAGTAGTGACATGACAGGTGGTAGAGTTACTGACTGACTGAGTTTGGTTTTACGCCGCTTTTAGCAATATTCCAGCAATATGACGGCGGGGGACACCAGAAATGGGCTTCACTCATTGTACCCATGTGGGGATTCGAACCCGGGTCTTCGACGTGACGAGCCAACGCTTTAACCACTAGGCTACCCAACCGCCCGACAGGTGGTAGAGTTACTGTACCAGTGCCATGGTACAAGGAAAGGGATGTAACTACATGCCTAGTCAGTATGAATACAGGATGCTAACTGTAAATAGCCCTATTAAACTACACACACATCTCAAGATATAAAACCACACAGATGAAAACAATTGAAGCTGTACTTTGGGAACTATAATCTATGGCAAGCTTCAAGCATTGTGTCTCATATTGAGTTAAAAAATCAAGGGCCAAGTATGGTTCTTCTATAAAAAAACCCACTGAAACAAAGGCAAGGATCTGTAGAAATGTATGATTTATGCATATAATGGCATTTATCATAGTTTAGACGCTTGATGTGACAAAATCTGTGGGAATTTCTCAACACTGGAATTTGTCCCGTTAATTTACTGAATATATTGTTTGTATTGAATCTGTGGTTTACCTACATTTAATCATATTATTCATATCTTGACAAATGCTGCCAAATTTGCACCAATTAAGTAGCAAACATGTAGACGAGAAACAATGTTGCATATATATCAGTTTATAGCCTATCGCTTCCTCTTTACTGGTCAGGAAATCAAGGGGACAGTGTTTTTTATTATGTACCTATGTTTCTTAGCTTGAGATGATTGTATAGTTTTTATTGGGGTATTAACACCCAACGTTGTTGAACTCGTCCCGGAATGAACTGTAAATGTTGACTATGTCACATTGTATGTAGTTCAATGACACTGGTATCTTACAGCTGCTAAATTTTGCATTAGAAGCCTTTGTGTAAGGCACTTAGCATGAACCTAAATCAGGCAGCAGACCATGAAAACTAGTCTACCATTACGTGTAAAGAAACCATGCAGTATTCACATGTACAGGTCAGCCTGGAGGCCTGGCAGATCAATGTGGTCAGTGTTGTTGTGGGGTAGCCTAGTGGTTATAGCGTTTGCTCCTCTCTGCCGAAGGCCCGGGTTTGATCCCCCACATGGGTACAATGTGTCAGTCTAAGTAAACTTAGCCTCAGTATTATTCGTTACACTGCTATACTGAGTCTAACAAAACCTTGTGGAAGGTTGTGTCAGGTAACCTTTTCAATTGACCAATCAGAACACAGCTTACCAAATCGCAAAAGTTCACATTCGCACATACCTTCTGAACTTTTACCTCGAAAAAGTTTTGTACCCGAACGATTCCGAATGCTATTTTCCGTACGATCGCTTCCGAGTGATGCACATGGAGCACGCCGCAACAGTGAGTAAACAGTCGCTGAAAATAGCGTTTTGTCAGTATTCAAGGATGCCAGCTTGCGGAAATATTAGCTAATGATAACCATGTCAACAGAAACCCAAAAGCATATATTCTGCAGGTCATATATCTCTGTTTTATGCGGGTTTTCATTTGTTGTGAGATCAGTGTTGGCGACCGGGGAAGAGTAAATCCATTTTGTAAGTCCCGCCGAACCCTAAGTAGTAGCCGTTGTCTGATTGGTTAAATCCGTTCTGTTGTCTCGCGTTTGATTGGACGGTCATAGGTCGCTCAAAGGTTACCTGACGCGACCTTCCACAAGGTTTTGTTAGACTCAGTATAGTAGTGTAACGAATAATACTGAGGCTAAGTTGACAATGTGTGAATCCCATTTCTTGTGCACACCGCCATGATATTGCTGTTATATTGCTAAACGCGGCGTAAACCCCAACCCACTCACTCAGTGTCGATGTTTGTTTCAGGCTGGATAGCTGTGAAGTTCAGCTGGACAACACCATGTTTCTCCTGGAGACCTATTTGGAATACACCAAGATACCTCTACCTGTCGTGAAGAAAAAACAAGCACTCTAGAAGCCACTGTAAATAAATCTATTAAACATATTGTAATATGCTGAGATGTGTTGTTTATCTCAGTCAGTAATGCTGCACTATCATAGTGGATAGTACATGCATGTGTCACTTGTCATTGTCAAATGTAACATGGTACTTCAGCAAATAGGTACTTCAGTGTTCACATGAAGACATCCTTAGTAGTGTTGGGAATTGGTTGAAATCTCACAATTGATGAGTGCTTCATTACCAACGAACGATCATCGAAAAAAATTGGTTAGCATCATTTTTCAGATTTTCCTATCCAGTTTGTTATTGCAGATAAGTATAACATGATGCAACTTGCTACTTTAAAGTGATGACTAATATATTATGAACATAAACTTTCCGGAGTCTTCAAGTAATATTCAGTCATGACTTTTCAGTTAGTGAAGTGAGTTTTCTAAGAATTAAACAAGTTTGCAGGCCCTGACAACTTCAAAGATATGTTCCATCGTCAAGTGTTTCAAAGATGAAAACGGCAGTTCCAAAATCGTTTGTGTTCAATTATGAGAAAATGTGATCGATTGCTTGGCCGTTTGGTCACTGCGACCAATCTTCGATTATTTCAATTAATCGGAACACCACTAATCCTTAGCGCAGCAGAATCTATACAACTAAAAAAACAGTTAAGTCCCATCTGATTCTTTCATGTTACGATATTTACTCTTTCATTGATAATTTTAATAAGAGAGAATCAGGATGTGTAGTGTCACATTGTCAGTGTAGCCATTATCACTTCCAGATGCTATGACTGATGTCACTAGTGGGGTAGTCTAGTGGTTAAAGTGTTTGCTTGTCACACTGGAGACCCGGGTTCAATTCCCAACTTGGTTACAATGTGTGAAGCCCTCTGCTGGAAACTTACTAAAGTGGCGTAAAACTAAACTCGCTCACTCACCCTGACCTGCCCTTACAACAAACTCAATGTAGGTGTAAATTCAGTTTATTGTCAAGTGCCATACATATTCAATCTATTTATCAGATTATATATACTACCCATCAAAAGTTTAGACTCACTAGTGTAAATGTAGCCACTTACTTGTCCACTGTTCTAAACTAGCTTTTTGCAAAATATTCCATACTGTTTAAAGGTACTGTTTAGTTATGAACTGGTGTATTGTAAAACATATTCGTAACATTGAAAAGATTATTGTCATGAGTTCAGTAAATGATTAAAATCTGTGAAAATTGGCGAATTCTTAACAAAACTTTACACCAAAACGAATCTGTTCACATGCACGACATTTGCTCATGCCTTTCGCAATTTGAAGCATCATCCTTGTGCAATTCATCTGCATAAGGTTTTCAGTTGGTTCCCCCCAAGTTGGTGGAGAAATTCATCTTCGATGTAACCACATACATATACATAACATATAGTGAGTGCTTTAAGTGAGTCTAAACTTTTGATGGGTAGTATATAAATGCATCTGGTTAATTATACCGATACCATGAGGGAATCAGTCCTCCTCCTTCCAGGAACACAGTGCAGATTCTACATGCAATAGGACCACTGGGAGCAGTTGTTGCTTCACACAAACAACCGCCAACTAGAGAAGATAATAATGTGCCCTCATACTCACTGTAACCGGTAGTTGGACACTGAAATTGATTTTCCCTATAGCCTTTTTTGTATGTTTTGATAGGACAGATGTCAGTGATTAACACAGATGAAAACATGCTGTCAAATGATTGGTAGAATGCTAAATTACCATGGTAACAAATCACCGATATTTGGTGCTGAAATATCAAAACAGTTTATTTTTTAAGGGAAAATATCCTTTTCTATATGTTCCTGGGAATTCTGTGTAACAGGAACAGTACTGAAAGCACCTGAACAGACCTGGTTTTGTGATAGAATGATAGATGTGATAGACTAGTTCTATAGGACGGGTACCCCAAGTCTGCCAGGTAATATATTGAGATCTAGATTTTAATGCATATTAGAGAGACCTCCTTCCTTCACACTACATCATTATATGAAAGTACTTGTACATTGTATGCATACTGTATAATGGGAATATGGTATTTACTAATGCTTATCTAAGTACTTCAACACATTTCTGATGTGAATAAAAAATGGCCCCAAAATGCTAAAACAAAAAGATCTTCATTATAATATGACTGTCTATCGTAATTTAAATTTAATCTAAGTCTCCCTGTATATATGATATATAAAAACTGCACCATCATAAGAAACAACTCTAAACTGTAAAACATGCGGTGGAAATAAATATAATATGAAAAATCTACAAAATATATTTCTAAAACTATCTATACTGATTCATCACCAGCGTCCTATTTTGGAATATTATCAACCATATACATAATTAAATTTGGCCATGCCATCATGGAACAAAGAAGTGACAACAAGCACACGACTGCCGAGTAAGTCTGTCTGGTCAGAGGCCACAGGGGGGGTCCCGTTTTGCCGGACGCTTTTGTTATAGATAAAAATTCACTGATGCGAATAATCCTTTAAACAATAGGGTATTAACTTATAGTCTGTTTCGGCCTAAGAAAGTACACACTGTAGCTTCATCTCGATATTTCATATTTCACCAATTCAACATTTTGGGTACATTTTATCTTCATGATAAAATTCATAAATACATATTTCGTACATTTTCAGAAAACAAAAAAATGGTAACTGAAGACATAAATAAATATGCATAACTATTTTCTGAACTGAACTTGGTCTTGATGGTGGTTGTGTGTGTTCCTGGAACTGCTGAGAACATCACTGACGGTGTTGGCCGTTGCAGGACAACCTGTCTTACAACATTTCAAATGAACTCGGTCCCTTTTTGTGCTCTTAACCCTAAACTTGTGACCTAAATAGATTAAGTGTCTACCTACCTCCCCTCGAATTTGGAATGTTAACTTGAGCGTTTGTCATTTTGAAATGAGCGAACCATGTCTACATTCTTTATATACAGGCACAACTTCAGAAATAATCATTGGAATAAGCTTCACTCAATTCAGCTAATATAATTCGATTTAACTAAAATCAGTTACTAGAAATCGAGTTCACTCAAAACAAATTGGTGCCTTGTAATTAATGATTTCGAACTCAGTCTGCCAAACACTCATGTCCCCAAAATGCCTATGGATGACAAGTAATCACTGAAAACAGACTATAGCCGGCAAACTAGCGGACCGTTACTCTTAATTCGTTATCATCACATCAGCTCTCCGGCAAAGTGGGGTATGACCGCCACAGGCCAGTGTCCAGTCAGACTAGGAGACTCATATCTGATCTATGTTGTTTTTACAATCTTGAGTAATTTGCTATTTTCTTATACAGGAATTCATTCATAAAATGCTTATGTTTAACCCTGTTATCAAGAATTTGAATGAGATAATTTTCAAGAAGATGGGAGAATCATGTATATTGCCATTATTGCAGGCAAAATCAATATAGATAACGTGACAGGTCATGCGATGCATGAGAAGCTGATTAACCAATCAAATTCACCGATTCTTAATTGAGGTTTAACAATTCTGTATACAAAACAAATGTGGGTGAAGTATCTGTTTCCTTATCACAGTGCAAAGCCATCTTCTCAGATAATTAAAAAACATCATTGTTGATTTACATATTTTGTCTGGATTTATACATATATATGAAAAAACACTTCATAGAGAAGTTTTCAACAACCAAAAACAATTTCCATTAAATACAAGACATCCATACCTGCCATCCATCACAATCTATGTAAAGAGACCTCAAGTTCTCTCACAGGACATTCTCGTGAACATGGAATTTTGTTTCCTTAAAATTTTGCCAGGTGTATACTTTTACTTATAAATTGTTCGGGTGGAGGTGAGTGGTTAGGTTTTTTTCATGTAATCACTGTTAGCAGCTGTTTAGGTCAGAAGGCACTAATAAATACACATGCAATCCTTTGGCTTGAGTTGGACATATTTCAATAGTGACTGCCCTTTTCAATGCCCTTTGAACACTGGTATGGTTGTATCATGGCATATCACATGAACATAGAACGTACATCTAGGCACTTGGCTGGAACCCATCAACTTGATTATGGTGGCCACAAACCAAGGATTATAATCACAGCAAATATACAACTCAAGAGAGTTCCAAGATCACATGCTCATATGACTATAGTTAATCTTCCTTTATGTACTTCCCCTAATGGAAATTCAAATAAGAACATGAATGTACACAAAGTCTCAAGCTTTCTGCCTCCCAACCTCCATTAGACACACACACACCAAGGAGTTTGGCAGAGAAACTGAAAGGTTGAGACCATGTATACTTCATCTGTTATGTCATGGCAGATTAACTACAGTCTCATGAAACCAATGGGTGTTCATTAGTGAAAAATCAAATTTGTCAATGGTAAGGTCAATTCATGTGATGCTTGCCAAGTTATGGAGCCACAGTCCATCATCAAAGAGCATTAGACCAAATAAAATCAGTGCTACACCATGAATCAGTCAATATTTGGTTGAGAACAGAAAATATACTCCACTTTTTATAGAGATATATTTATCTTTCAAAGATGCTCCAAAATTTATTGTTATGATAAGACAATTTATGATATTACATATTACAATTAGTATGAAATTATTCTAAGTTTTGGGTAAACAAATATTCTATACAAAAGTTTAGCAGTATCAGAACAGGATATACATGTATCATTTGGTATCATTTTGTATCACAACATAACCTCACCACTGATGATTATTTCTGATCACATGGAAGTAGTATCGTCATTTCACACAACGGTTACCAACAATCGTATCCAGGGTAAACGATTGGGTCACTTTCTAGGACCCTGATTGATTGTCATCTAAAATGTCCTGATGAAGTTTGTCAAATTAATGACAAAGAAGAATGTCCTAATGCCATTTGTCTCCAACAAAGTCTCTGGGTATTATGGTTATTATTAGGTTATTATGACCTGATATTATGATTGTTTGTTTGGTGCTGCCCATGCACATTCCTTGTTAGCCTTCCAGTCGGAACTGTGGTCATCATAGATTTCCTGAAACAGAATTGTAAAGGTCACTACAGGTAGTTACTCAAAGTGAGAGAGTTAAAAGATAATGTAGCATCAGCATTGTTTCAGCCATATAGTGATGGTAGTTGCTGTAAACTAACCTAAGTTTTAACAAGAAATCAATCTCAGGTAACATTTCATATTTCAAGAGGAGACCTTTGCTGAGTCAAATAGCCCCAGGTGGTGAGAGTGCCTACCTTTTTCCAGATGGGTACAGTGGCCTTGAGAGTATCAATGGCGTAGGAGACCGCCATCAGTGACTCCTTTCGATGTGGGGAGGAAATCGCGATGATGATGCTGGACTCGGTCACAGGAACAACACTATAGAACAAAGGACATATGTAAACTGAAGGGGAAAAAGTAGGTCTAGGACCCATTACACAAAGCAATCACAGAGCTATGACTGTCATATGTCTACGTTAAAGTATTGAAGGATTATCTTAGTGCTACAGGGCGGTGGGGTAGCCTAGTGGTTAAAGTGTTGGCTCGTCACGCCGAAGACCTGGGTTCGAATACCCACATGGGTACAATGTGTGAAGCCCATTTCCGGTGTCCCCCGCCGTGATGTTGCTGGAATATTGCTAAAAGCGGTGTAAAACCAAACTCAGTCAGTCATTCTTAGTGCTACAGTTGCAATAACATATAACAGCGCTACATTAAGCAATATTGTTGCTACATCATGGCGGCCTGTAAATATCTGAATATTGGACAAACAAACCAGTTGTTGATATCATAAACAATTGAGATCATTGAGATATGATGACATGCAAGTCACAGAGTTTCACCAAGTAGGCCCTTTACAGCAATCAGTGTTGAGACCCAAGTTATCATTGGTCCGTCTTGACATTGTATGCCAAATAGTCCACTAGTTATGGGAAATGTTATAACCTACAGGGGCCATTATGAACAGGAATGAGTGAATATTGTTTTATGTAAGAAGGTCACACAATAGAAACAGACATGAGGGAATGGGAGATTTCTTCTGCACACCTGAACCCATTGAGGAAACAAGTAATGGCTATGATAATAATAATAATTCATTTAAATAGCGCCTAGTATCTATCTGACTAGTTGCTCTATGGACGCTGTAATCAGAATCTGATTATTATTACCCTGGATAACCCATGCTGCCTGTCACATGACTTTATCCAACTGGGTTCCCATTTTCTGCTGGGTGAACTGAGGCAATTTTGAACAAACTCATTTGTCTAAGGTGAAACCACATGTTTCACATGTGCTTCGTTGTGGGGCAGGACTGAAGTCCTAGAAACTCTCAGGAGTCAAGGTGCCAAACACGGTCACCCATCCAAGGACTGTCCGAGCTTGACGTTGCTTAACTTCAACTGATTTGTGACCTGAGCTCTACGCACGGGACCACACACCTCCACTACTGGGACCAACTCAGCTCTAAACTCCAAATGTGGATACAAATATTCAACCCTAAGAATAAACAAAAGGACGGGACACTGGGAACCTGTTCTACCATGGAATGTATGTGAAGCTCTTGAAGTACTGCCCATATAAATGTAAGTTGACTTGCAGAAACAATGCCTCATCTTGGTTGCTCATATATTAACTAGGCCCCAAAACAGTTCAGTCTAACACAAAGGCTTGGTTTCAACCAGTCACCACTCTTACCATGGCTAGCTATTTGGCTTTTATTTCCATTTACAAACTGGGTCATTACCTTACGTCTAGCATGCTCCTATTTAGGACTTCACTACATCACACTACAGAATTACAAGTCAACCAAGAGTATCATATAACCACACACAATCAGAACCTACCCAAGTCTGTGAACAATGGCGATGTGTTCAACTTGCCACTGAGCTCGGATCTGGTCACAAACTTCAACCATTTTCTTCTTTGCCATGGGAATGTAGGCCTCGTACTCTAGTTTCACAACATGCTTGTTTTCAAAGTTGTCCCGTGTTGTGCCTGTGTGGGGACACATGTATATAAAGATGTCACTGAAAGCACTGTATTTAAATAAATGTAATGACAGAACAAGTGATGAGAGTCTGAACGGGCTTCCCACCCCTTCAGCGATCACAGCTCTAATTCTAGTTAGTATAAACCATACTTTCCAGGGCCCGTATAAAAGCTCCATAACATGGAGCTATGACAGCTGCAATGCTATGACCCCTTCAGACTGGCACAGAGGCCAGACATTTATTGCATGTTATGAGAAATTAAGGATTAACAAATTTTGAAACGACTGGTATTATATTTTAGAATACAGTGAAAACCTTCTTCTACTAATACATGTTAATCTGAAAACCCTACTGTCAGACAATTACTCTGACACAAAAGTGTACATGCATAAAAAGCCTCTACTCTCAAATTTGGAAACATGACATCCGATGTAGTGGGGACCTATTCTGCCTTCAAAACTGACCCATGAAGACTGATACAGCTCCACACGAAGGTGCAGTGACGAGGGCTGTGATCTTCTCCAAGTTGAGCTTCTCCTCTGTGATCTCAATGTGATTCATCTTCTAAAGTTTCAGATGTTGCTTAATCTGTTCAAAGATAAAAATAACATTGATTCTAAGATGCTTCGGTGAAAGATCAAAGGCGCCGACAGTACTTTATCAGACAATAATGTGCACTTTTTGCATTACGTCCCAATGTATTGGTGTCACTGCGCCATTCTAGTCTGCCCCCTCGTAATCAAACAATTTTGCATTACGTCACAATGTAAGCGACGTCACGGTGCATGTCAGTTGTCATCGCCTCGTACAGCCTCCTACAGTAAACTACTCCGTTGCATCCCGTTTCTTGGTTGGCAGTTGCTTCACGCAGCTAACATCACTGGTGGAAACATTACGTTTATGTTTTCCGAAGGTTAAAAAGTCTCAATTTGAGTCACAAGTTTTCAGCGACTAGGTAATGTTCACAATGTTTACATTCCCACAATGCAATCGTGGAATGTCGTTTGACTACTCAGCTTCATCTGGATGTACTGATCTAAACTTACATTGATAGTAGAAATGCCCCATATGGTTTACGTTAATCACAGATGTAATCAAAATAACTAAAAGAAGATATTTAATCTGAACGTAAACCGTCATCAAACAGTTTATCAATTGTTTTTTTTCTGGTAACGTTCGTCTTAACGTAGGGGGGCAGACACATCAATAGAACAGCACGCTAGTTAGCCCTGTGCGAGAATTCTTAATATCCTAACACTTCATTTGTTTTCCGCCTTAGATTAATCGTAATTATCCTTAGAAAGTATTAAATTTGGCATCTTAGAAAAGAAATACAGTTCGCTCTACAACCATGTATAGTGTAATAAAGCACACTTTCGCCCTGGACTATTATAGTTAAAGCATTAGGACACTTATTTATTTCTTAAATAACACTTTCTACAATAACCACTTTGACACTCCCATTAAGAGAGTGTGCTCAACTAGTTTATCTGCATGACTAAGTCTGTGTTATTACATCAGTCAATACCATGACAGAGACGTCAAAATTACTGTAATTCACAAAGAATCAATTGAATCTAACAAGATAAGTGATTGATAAAGATAAGTCTGCTATTATTTTTCAATATCATAAATCATTAAGGGCACCAGATCACTACAAGACTGTATAGCTAGAATCATAATTCAAGGAACATTCAACAGTTTGGGGGTCACACTTACAAACAAAACTTTCCTTTTTTTCAGTAAAGTCCAATTTATCATGATGAAAACAAATAGATACATGAAAAAAATAATTCACAAATCATCAAAGGCAACACTTCACCACTAGGTTGATCTGTGCAGCAAGTTTCATTTTCAACAATAAAAATTCATCCATTTCTGAGTTCTGCTCTGGAAACGGATTGACAACATATAAACAGACATATATATGGGTCGATATAGTCCCATTTTTTTCAAACTGTTGGGTGGGGGGATAAACAGAAAGAAATGAGATTCAAATGGGATTCAACTCTGCACTCAAATTTTGGCACCTTAGACAAATGGGCGATTCATGTCTGGTAATCATAACAGATGATAACGTAGATGAAACAATATTAAAATCTGAAAAATTTAATATGTACCTATTTCAGAGGCAAAAGTTTATTCGATATTAAAGACAAAATTTCATTTTGTTCCACTGTCCAAATGCTTTGGTCATGTTCCTTCACCATGGTAACAACTGTGACATCAACACAGTAGGCAGAGCCACTCTTTACATAAACAAATAAATGAACCTTTGTCCTGGTATCAGATTAATACCGAAGCATATGAAAAACATCACATGTTCATTATCCTTTATTTACACTTTGATTGTAACTACCACAGTTTAATCCCCACACAGTGTCTGAATAAACACAGGCCGCACGAGACTGCAGCTGTTGCTGGATTCATCTCAGTAATATGTGCACATGAAATGATGACTATGTTAACTATTGAAATATGAAAATTTATATCCTGGTATTTGTGGCAATAACCATAATTTAATTACTTCTCTTTTCGGGCATATCAAATCTATAACAATATTTAGAAAAAATAATTATGGTGATGATGATGCTGACTGACTGACTGAGTTTGGTTTTATGCTGCTTTTAGCAATATACAAGCAACATCCCGGCGGGGAACATCAGAAATGGGCTTCACACAGAGTACCCATGTGGGGATTCGAACCTGTGTCTTCGGCATGACGAGCCAACGCTTTAACCACTAGGCTACCCCACCTCCTAATGATGATGCTGATAATGTTGTTGGTTTATTGAAATATTGAACAAATTCATACACCCCTAATGATGCTGATGATAATGACCTTTGTTTCACCTGCATCTATACCAGAGAGTTTCAACTGTATCTATGCCCCAGTTTCACCTGTATCTATACCAGAGAGTTTCACCTGTATATATACCAGAGAGTTTCACCTGTATCTATGTCCCACAGTTTCACCTGTATCTATACTAGAGAGTTTCACCTGTATCTATGTCCCACAGTTTCACCTGTATCTATACCAGAGAATTTCACCTGAATCTATGCCCCACAGTTTCAACTGTATCTATACTAGAGAGTTTCAACTGTATCTATACCAGAGGGTTTCACCTGTATCTATACCAGAGAGTTTCAACTGTATCTATACCAGAGTTTCACCTGTATCTATACCAGAGAGTTTCACCTGTATCTATACCAGAGAGTTTCACCTGTATCTATGTCCCACAGTTTCACCTGTATCTATACCAGAGAGTTTCACCTGTATCTATGTCCCACAGTTTCACCTGTATCTATACCAGAGAATTTCACCTGTATCTATGCCCCACAGTTTCAACTGTATCTATACTAGAGAGTTTCAACTGTATCTATGCCAGAGGGTTTCACCTGTATCTATACCAGAGAGTTTCACCTGTATCTATACCAGAGAGTTTCACCTGTATCTATGTCCCACAGTTTCACCTGTACCTATACCAGAGTTTCACCTGTATCTATGTCCCACAGTTTCACCTGTTTCTACACCAGAGAGTTTCACCTGTATCTTTGCCCCACAGTTTCCCCTGTATCTATACCAGAAAGTTTCCCCTGTATCTATACCAGGGAGTTTCACCTGTACCTATACCAGAGAGGTTCACCTGTATATATACCAGAGAGTTCCACCTGTATCTATGTCCCACAGTTTCACCTGTTTCTACACTAAAGAGTTTCACCTGTCTCTATGCCCCTCAGTTTCACCTGTATCTATGCCCCAGTTTCACCTGTAACTATGACAGAGAGTTTCACCTGTATCTATACCAGAGAGTTTCACCTGTATCTATGCCCCACAGTTTCACCTGTATCTATACCAGAGAGTTTCGTCTGTATCTATGACCCACAGTTTCACCTGTAACTATACCAGAGAGTTTCACATGTATCTATGCCCCACAGTTTCACCTGTATCTATACCAGACAGTTTCACTTGTATCTTTGCTCCACAGGTTCACTTCTATCTATACCAGAGAGTTTCAACTGTATCTATGCCCCACAGTTTCACCTGTATCTATACTAGAGAGTTTCACCTGTATCTATGCCCCAGTTTCATCTGTAACTATAACAGAGGGTTTCACCTGTATCTATGCCCCACAGTTTCACCTGTATCTATACCAGAGAGTTTCACCTGTATCTATACCCCGCAGTTTCACCTGTATCTATACCAGAGAGTTTCACCTGTATCTATGCCCCACAGTTTCACCTGTATCTATACCAGAGAGTATCACTTGTATCTTTGCTCCCCAGTTTCACTTGTATCTATACCAGAGAGTTTCACCTGTATCTATGCCCCAGTTTCACCTGTAACTATACCAGAGAGTTTCACTTGTATCTTTGCTCCACAGTTTCACCTGTATCTATACCAGAGAGTTTCACTGGTATCTTTGCTCCACAGTTTCACTTGTATCTATACCAGAGAGTTTCACCTGTATATTTGCCCCCCAGCTTCACTTGTATCTATACCAGAGAGTTTTTCCTGTATCTATGCCCCAGTTTCACTTGTATCTATACCAGACAGTTTCACCTGTATCTATGCCACAGTTTCACCTGTAACTATTACAGAGAGTTTCACTTGTATCTTTGCTCCACAATTTCACTTGTATCTATACCAGAGAGTTTCACCTGTATCTATGCCCCAGTTTCACCTGTAACTATTACAGAGAGTTTCACCTGTATCTATGCCCCATAGTTTCAACTGTCTCTATACCAGAGAGTTTCACCTGAATCTGTGACCCACAGTCTCACCTGAATCTATGTCTGCCAGTTTCACCTGTATCTATGCCCCAGTCTCATCTGTATCTATGCCCCACAGTCTCACCTGTATCTATGCCCCACAGTCTCACCTGAATCTATGACCCACAGTCTCACCTGAATCTATGACCCACAGTCTCACCTGTATCTATGACCCACAGTCTCACCTGAATCTTTGACCCACAGTCTCACCTGTATCTATGACCCACAGTTTCACCTGAATCTATGACCCACAGTCTCACCTGAATCTATGACCCACAGTTTCACCTGTATCTTTGACCCACAGTCTCACCTGTATCTATGACCCACAGTCTCACCTGAATCTTTGACCCACAGTCTCACCTGAATCTATGACCCACAGTCTCACCTGAATCTATGACCCACAGTCTCACCTGAATCTATGACCCACAGTCTCACCTGTATCTATGACCCACAGTCTCACCTGAATCTTTGACCCACAGTCTCACCTGTATCTATCACCCACAGTTTCACCTGTATCTATGACCCACAGTTTCACCTGAATCTATGACCCACAGTCTCACCTGAATCTATGACCCACAGTTTCACCTGTATCTTTGACCCACAGTCTCACCTGAATCTATGACCCACAGTCTCACCTGAATCTATGACCCACAGTCTCACCTGTATCTATGACCCACAGTCTCACCTGAATCTATGACCCACAGTCTCACCTGTATCTATGCCCCATAGTTTCACCTGTATCTGTGCTCCAGTTTCACCTGTATCTATGCCCCATAGATTCACCTGTATCTGTGCTCCAGTTTCACCTGTATCTATGACCCACGTATCTATGACCCACAGTCTCACCTGAATCTATGACCCACAGTCTCACCTGAATCTATGCCCCACAGTCTCACCTGAATCTATGACCCACAGTCTCACCTGTATCTATGACCCACAGTCTCACCTGAATCTATGACCCACAGTCTCACCTGAATCTATGACCCACAGTCTCACCTGTATCTATGCCCCATAGTTTCACCTGTATCTGTGCTCCAGTTTCACCTGTATCTATGCCCCATAGTTTCACCTGTATCTGTGCTCCAGTTTCACCTGTATCTATGCCCTATAGTTTCACCTGTATCTATGCACCACAGTTTCACCTGTGTCTATGGGGCGACGTAAAAGGCACTTTCATGATTTTCATACAATGCGATGCCAGTTAAAATGACAAATATGTAATACTATAAGATATAAACGTTGATTATTTTCAAACAGGACAAAGTACTTGCTCCTTATGACATGACATAATGTTTTAAAGATCTGCAATTAAGCAAAACTTACAGATAAAATGTCCAAGGAACAAATAATCAGTCCCATGAGGCCTTATCATGAATACCTAAATGCTAATAACATTATATAAATGGATCTATGATACACGTTGTGGTTTACAATATCACAATGAACAATAAGCTTCTGAACCTTCAGTGAGGGAGAACAACATGGGAACTATATTAGATATGGCACAAAGGATATTTTTTAACATATCACTGAATACTGGTTCTGTGTTTGATTATCGATCATCGTTCTGAAGTGAATTATACATTATAAGATATTTGAATTTCTGAGAAAAAGGCTGAAAAATATCAGTTTATAACTTGCATTTCAATTTTAAAAACAAATAACAAATGAATAATATCTATTCTGGCCAAAGATGCCATCATCGTTTCTGGGGGAAAGAAACCTGCCAAGTTTCAGCAGTAAAATCAGTTCCAGGGGAATTTTACAGCATTCCTTTTCCCCAATAAAATGACAGAAAGCAACATAAGGATCTCAATCATTTTGTCAAGTGTCACTACCATGCCTACTGTAAGAACATATGAAACAGTATACAAAGTCTCACTTTCACCATGTTCACCCTCTGCGGTTCCAAGGAGACACTTGACATTGGACAAACAGGCACAGACAACTGACAGAGATGCTATAGAGATGCTAAAAAGATTGATAATCAGAAATAATGCTGATATGACAAATTATTAATGATTATCAATATGAAAATAGTGTCATCAATAACATTGTACGTAAACTTTTGTGATAGAATAAAGGTTTAATTTACTCAAACAATATACAAATGAAAGTTTTTTAATATTGGGTTGCTTCTAAATTATGTTCAAGATGCTGTTTTGTTGGTATCCCATGCTCAGTAGGTTTGTGAAATATATTTATTTCTTTCAGGCATTTTGGGGCAATTTTGCTCAAAGTTACTTTTCCGATAATTATTGATAATCAATTAACATTTAGTTTATGATTATCGATCTTAATGATCTATATCTATAGCTAGCCCTAAGAGAAGCCCTGTCGAAATTCTTTTCAACACAAATATTATGTTATTGCAATAAACCATATGGATTTTACAGCATGTATTAATATTAAGAACAGATGTAAATGAAAACCCACTAAATTAAACAAAAGGATCTATGTTGTTCTGATTGAAACTAATGAAACTGAAACATGTTAAATATATTCAGACAATATTTTTCCCTTATAAGAAATATCACCAACAATTTAGACAGTCAATGTTACATCTTCCTTGCCTGGAACCTCTACAACTCATCACCAAGTTATATCCCTCAACTGATACAAGTGGCGAGCCTTACCTGGATGTGTGTTAACCTCCACTGATTGGTGGGATGATAGCAAGTTCGTCCCCGTTATGGAGTTCTACCTCATTGTCGTTTAGGTCAATATAGTCTTCATTCAATGACAATACAATGTTTTCTGAGATAGGGGAAATACTGAAAATATAGGAAAAGGTTTTACAAAAGCAGTCATCTGTCATTGTGAACAAAGTAAAGGAAAATGAAGTGTTAACTCAAGCTTATAGATTGAATCATATTTCATTTAGCTTCAGATTGACCTATTACTTCTAATTCTCTGACATATGCAGCTACAATTTATTACGTATTTTACAAAAAGCACATATTCTCACATAATACAAGATATGGCAAGAAGCAAACTCATTTTCATGATAATTCATATTCAAATGCATGATTGGTCTACTCAGTAAATTCCAGTGTCTTACAAAGATGTATGCTCAAATGATAACTAAACAACACAATATCCACCTTGGAAACTTGTCCAACAGTAGCTGCAACAGCTGTTGTGCTGAAAGGGATGATGGAGTATCCACAAGTGATTCCTTCTGACCAACTAAATCACGACTTTTGGCAAAAAACAAGACTTTAATCTGAAACAAAGAACAAATCTCAAAATAATGTCATGATATAATGCAGTGTATACTTTATCATAATAGATGTGACAAATTGTTATAGTTACCCTGTAATAATCCATCTCCCCCAAACTTGAACATTTCTCCTCTAGTACATTTCTTGTATGTCATTTCATTTGGGACTGATACATTTGATAATGACCTTACACATAATACTCGAATAATGAAGCTCAGTGTCCTGATCAGTGCTGAATAATATTAACAATGGCAGTAATGACTAATGTTCTGTCGGTGTTCAAACATTTCATTCACAGTTTTGCACAAACATTCTTGGTGAAAACAGAGATGACTCTAATAGGACACTGGATGCAACTTCCGTGCATTGCCACAACGATTAGAATCCTTGACAACATTCCCTATGTTAGCATAGTTCGTTATGTAAGTAATGACTAGAATGATCTGATTAGAATGTAATCGTTTTCGATAAATATCTGATATCAACAAGCTTGCATGATCGCTATCTAATGGTATTTCTTGTTGTTGAAATGATAAATACAGCTCGCATTGCTTGACAATAAAGTTCGCTGTGAACTAGCAGATCATACCTGGATATTGTCTGTCATGTTCGTCCCTGCTCCCACTTAAGCAATAGAAATAAGAGTAACCTCCCCTTAATCTCGCGCATTCTCGAGACTGGGCACTGTCTACTTATTTGTGGTGATGCGTCCAAGCAAAATAGATGTCAACAAGAAAACCAGTTCGTATCGTGCAGACGCAAACTAAATGTACAGATACGGAAAATGACAATAGCAAGCTAAAACCAAAACGTAAGTAAAATTGAATGGTAAACGAGTAGGTTGCATACATTTCTGTCGACCGAAATGAATATTCAAATCAAACAGGTGGGAAGAGTTTATCGTTGAATCAGTAGGAACGGCGGGAAATACAAACTAGCCTAATGCTTATCACAACACTGAAGACATGGTATACAGTTGCTCATGCGCCGTCCTCAAAGTGGGTGCACTGATGCAGATGTGCTCTTCCACTTCCACAACCTCTCCGCTGTTTTCCTCATGTCTGCAATGTCTGTCCTAATGAACACTCATTCTATTTTACTAACATCAAACATTCAGTAAATTAAAACCTCTTACTTTAGCTGTAATCAACATCCAATCACCAATCCAACGAGGAAATAAATGTGATGAGGTCCCAAACTATTTTCTGATAATAATATAGTGGTTGGTCAAATATTAGTTTTAATTACCCAAGTTTTTAAATAAGCACTTAATGTTTGCTCAAACTAAAGCCATTCAAACTGTTGATTAACATTTGATTATGAGTAAAACCTGAGCTTGGTGTCTTTAGGCTACTGTATATGCAAAGAAGAAGAGTTTGTGATTCTGATGCATGCCTCATGTTGCAGATATTTCGTATGAAATGAATAAAGATATAAAACATACAACATGTATTGTTCTATTTTTATGATGTTACCACTTTTGATTTGCAGCCCCTTTGACTCTTTGGAGAAGCAGTTTAAAACTGTGGGTGTGTAGTTCTGTTGCCTCTTTTGTGTGGCCATTTTAACCAATGTATTTGTGTCTGTTGATGTGTGGCCCTTTTGGCTATACTCCCAAGCCCATTAGGTAATTCAGTCAAAATATTGACTTTCTGCTAACTCAAAGTCAATGATATGGATGCATTTTCCAGTATATCCAGTGTTCACAAATAGTGTCGGACCTTCGGACAAATCTGGCAGATTCACCGACGGTCTGATGGAAGTCTACAACCCACCAGCCCCAGTGACTGACTATATTTCACAATGACTTTGACTGAGGATGTTGTATGTGACATGTGACACTTGTTTGCTGTTTAAATTTTACGTTTATTAATCATTTCAATGCCAAAAATAAGAAATGTTAAATCTGAAATGTGTGTTTAATTTGTATTCTCTGGGTCCTTGAATTTTCAGTGGGTCAGACAGACATCTGAAACTTACAGGACCCAATGTCCTGTTACCTTGAAACACCATTCGTGAACATTGTATATCTACTGTGGATACAGCTTTGTGAAAATAGGGATGCATGTTATTTTTAAACACATGTGAACTAGTGCTAGATCTCCAGAGAAAAATAAATAATCTGTAAAGATATTTATGTTTGGTAGTTAAGCCATTTTTCTTAAAACATTCACTAAGACTTAGTTTCATTATGTTATGTTGTTGTTCAATGAGGTAAATGTTTTTAAATAGAAATATTAAATCATTAGTTGCATGACAAACCAGATACAGCAATTTTGCTTGTATCTGAAGTATGAACAACACAACAAGTAATAAATGTGTTTACCCTTGTCTTATTAGCACAAGACTAGAAAAGTCAAAATCATGTTAGCATAATCTGGGATTAAATGGTTGCTGTACTTTTGTGATGTCTGAATTATAGTTCTAATTTATTCACTCTAGAAAACAATTCAAACAGTTCTAGTTTCATCAATAGCTGACAAAACGTTTATGCCATAGCAGTTATTAAACTTATTATTATGATGTGAATAATTACAACGATGCTGCAACAAAAATATAAACACTTTCAAGTCCTATCTGACGGACAGAAGACAATGTGTGATGATAAGGGACACCAAATCAGAGAACATCCAACTGACATGTGGAGTTCCCCAGGGTTCCGTGCTTGGTCCCGTACTGTTTACTCTATATAGATGTCAACTTGGAGCCATCATACAAGAACACAGTGTTCCACACCACTTCTACGCTGATGAATCCCAGCTGTGGAAAGGTCTTCCTCTGGACCCTCAGTTACAACAATCAGTTGTACATAACATGGAATCATGCATTCAAGATGTCAAGACTTGGATGGCAACTAACAAACTACAGCTGAACGACGAGAAGACAGAAGTCATAGTCATCGGACCATCGGCTAGACTCAAAAAGCTTTGCGTTGATCATCTATCTGTGGGGACAGCTGACATCAAATTCTCACCTGGGTGTTCAACTTGATTCCAACCTCACTATGACAGATCACATCAACTATCTTTGTCGTATCTGTTATTTCCATTTAAGAAATATTGGCTCCATTCGCCACCTTTTGACTGTTGACGCCACATCAGCTCTTGTGAGAGCTCTCATATTTTCGAGATTGGACTACTGCAATTGTCTCCTCGTTGGATGTTCCAAAGAAACTATATACAAACTGCAAAAAATTCAAAACACTGCCGCAAGAATCGTCACAAGAACCAGCTCGAAATCTCACATATCACTAGTATTGAGATCACTACACTGGCTTCAAATAACGAAAAGAGTGGATTTCAAACTGTTGACTCTCATATAAAACTATCCATCATCAAGCTCCCAGCTATCTCAACGATCTCATTGCTGTGTATGAACCTGCAAGAGATCTCAAATCTGCTCATCAACTACAGCTTAAATTGCTGCCATACCATATGCAGAGGTACAGATAAGCTGCGTATCTGCGTAAATTACGCAAACATTTATGTGAACACTCAATTCCTTTCAAGTCTATTGCGTACAAGTACGCTTGAATTTTTGTAAATACTCAATAAATATGATCTAACATGCGTACACACAAAGATGTCAAATCCTAGCTTGCGTACTCAGCAAACCTATTAGAATTTGAAGTAAGCAGACCCCTGCGTTACAGATGGAGGTTACTGAAGAAAGATAGAATAACTGACTCAGAGGTATATTTAGAGGTTCTATTTCAGCACATGAACTTGGCAACTTGCAGTCTTTCTTATCATTTCTCATATAACAGATCAAATATAAATAACACACACGTTAACCAACATTTAAACTTTATTCTGTTTTCACAAATAATGGAAAATGGCAAAATACCCAATTGAGTTTGAGTGAGGTGGGTATAATTTATTAGGTTACTCAAAGGAAGATAAGGATACCCAATTGAGATGAACACAAGCGAGTACATAACTCAATGACCCAAAAAGTTATCTGTAGCTCTGCATATGAAAACTTTTGGATCACGACCATTCCCAAATGCTGCTGCACGCAAATGGAATTGTCTGCCATTAAACCTCAGGACCGTCCCAACACTTGATGCATTTAAAGCAAGCCTCAAGACTCATTTGTTCGAGAATTAGACTTTTCATCATGATGTATATATGTTTGCGTTAACGCTTTGAACATGCTTTGTTGCATGGAGATTAGCTCATTATAAGACTTATTATTATTATTATTATGAAGCAGTTCTGATGTCTCCATAGCTTCTGTTCCAAATGAAGCAATCTAGATTGCGTTTAAATACTGTACAGGGCTATATGCAGACACTAATCCATTAGTCATATTACTATCCTGTCCACGAAATTGATTTGACCAGAAATGAACATTAAACTCATATATGACTGACTGACCATTAGAACACATTTTTTTAAATCTGACATGACAGAGATAATTCAGTGGAAAGCTTCAATGTTTTGTATTTCTGTACAGGCCCACAAGGCATGTTTAATTAGTAATTTACAATATTTCTCATTCAATCTTTGGCAAAAGAGAATATTGATGTATATATTTGTATTAAG